TTAAACAAATCCAGGCTGCTTTTGCCCCTGGACAGACAGAGAGAGGAGAAGATCGTATGACCATAAGAGATACTGTAATAGAACACGCAGCTGATGCGCAAAAAGTGGCTCAGTTCAAACATCAAGCTAAGCTTACCGATAAACAGTGAGTTATCATACTCTTGTCTAGTAACTATAATTAATTTCCGTGGTAGTGCCATAAACTATTATGGAGTTCCGCATCTTTAGAGTTTGGTTATGGACAATCGAGGGATTAGCCAAAAAAGGAAAGATGGAGCAATTGTTCGATATGGCCCAGAAGAAGTCTCCTGTCGGATATGTGGTAAGTTAAGCATTCGCCAAGATTTTCCTCAAATAAATACGTCTTAATAAGCCAATTATTTAGTGGCATCCGAGTGTAACATTTTATGCTTTATAGCCATTCATCAAAGCCTGCATGAAGTACCATCGTGAAGATGAATGCAAAAAGTATTTTGCAAAAGTGCATGGGTATCAAGAACTGATTGCTGCTTACATGGCTATGGGGTTAGTCAGCATCTTTAGTCATGTTACTGCAAGTTTAGATTATTAGATTTAACGAGAAGCGTTTTAGAAATTACGTTGGAGCTGCGAAAATGGCTTTTGATCGACACGATCGTGATATGCTACAACACGTATTTATGAAATCACATAGAAATAAGGAAGCATACTCTAAAGTGGCTCAGCTGGTCAAATCACTATGATTATTGCAATCTCTTAGTATCTGCCTACCTATGATACGGAAAGTATGCCTTACCTGCATGTTATTTCATTGTTTGATATCTCATATTTGAAATCTAGTTTTGATCCAACTGCTTTTATGATCCCTTTATTTGATGCTGGTGCTTTCGCTTTGCTCTATGTTCCTGTCATGCTGTTGTTTACCTCCCAATATTGCAATATCACTTTGTAAACTTCGATACCACCTTTGATGTGACTATTAACGAGTCTTCATGATGTGATATGTTCATATTCAATTTGGATAATACAACATAAAGTATTTAAAGATAGTGCTTTTCAAACTTGTTTAGTTCAGCTTGGATCAGTTCTGTCGTATGTCTATTTGCTTGGAAGTTCTTAAGCATATTATGAACGCAGCATCACAGCTCCTTTACAAAAGTTTGACAAAGGTTCAAGCAAGTGCAATCTACATGACTATTTAGATTTGTGATGCAGTGCAGAGATGCAGTAAGAGTTATGGAGCAACTTGAATATATGGTGCACTACTGAATCCTAGAAATTAGACATTTGAGTAAAATTCTTAGTCCTTTAGGGCTTCCTCTGCTTCTATGTGCGTTACTTGAGTTTTCTAAGACCCTGTCATGTTATCGCATAGGTGTCAGCAAATAATAGTGATTTAATGTTCAATCAGGTGGTGCGCCGAAAAGATTTGACAAATGAAATTCTTCTTTATTGAATAGTTAAAGGCTGCCTTGAGCGATATCTCTGAAGCATATTCATGTAACAGATGAACGAAGCTATTATTGATTTCCATCTAAAGCAGTCAGTCTTTGTAGTTTCTGTCATTTCACTGCAAAGGTGCTACTTGGTGGGCAATCTTTGCTAATCGATCGTTATTTCCATACGCTCTTGCATAGTTGTATGGCTTACTGTTGACGCTACGCTCCCTATTGCTCAAGTTGACTCTTGCTTTTTTCCTACGAAGCTTCCCAGATTTTTTTATGTCGTAGATGATGTCGCGTTTATGGACCAAATCGGAGGTGCTGATGAACGGCACGATTGGTATCTCATTGTACCGTTCAACAAGAAGCCGTCTGGTAGTGGCTGTCGGCGACGTGCCAGGTCCTATGGTGAAGGGTTGCATTTCATTTGGTAAGTTTAAGTCGTACAATTTGTTTTCATTTTATTTGTATTCCTTTGCATGAAAGTTTTACTTTATAATACGCTTTATTTTGCTTTAGTGACGGAGACAGACTCCGACGATGGACTACCACATACATTAGAGCATCTAGTGTTTATGGGCAGTAAAAAATACCCATTCAAAGGAGTTCTAGACATTATTGCCAATCGTTGCTTGGCCAGTGGAACAAACGCATGGACAGATCAGGACCATACAGCTTACACTCTTACTACTGTGAGAGGTTTGCTGTTAGTAGCTAGTTACTTAGCCTAAAATTCAGATTTAGGTAGGAAGTGAAGGTTTTTTCAAAGTGCTACCAGTATATCTCAACCATCTCCTTTCACCTATGCTGTCGGTAAGAATCTTGACCTGACTACGCCTCTGTGTTCAACAGCTTTTTTTATTTTTTTTTGGTGGAAGATAAAATTTAAATTTTTATAGGACGCTCAGTTTGCCACTGAAGTGCATCACATCAACGGTAAGGGTGAAGATGCAGGAGTAGTATACAGTGAAATGCAAGACCATGAATCCGAGATGACAAGCATCATGGACAGGTTGGTTTACTTGTTCACACATTCATTATCATATTTTCAAGTTATCTCATTCAAGGTAATTTTAGGAAAAAGAAGGAAATTCTATATCCCCCAAATAATTCTTATCGGGTAGATACTGGAGGTCGCTTGAAAAACTTACGGGAAACTTGTAATGCTGATCGAGTAAGGATTTTGGGAATTTTACACCAACTTTCTTATGCTGTTAAAACGTTAGTGTATCTAGGTACGGAATTTTCACAAGAAGTTCTACCATCTTTCCAACATGATGGTGACTGTTTCCGGTCGTGTAGACCATGATAGGTTACTGAAAATTGTGGCAGCTACTGAGGAGGTATATCTTTTTACTTAGAAATGTATTCACTCGCGTAAACGAAACTATCTCAGAAGGCTCTCTTGATTAAAGCACATAGCAATGCTTTAGGAACATTTACATCAAGTTCCAGCCTCGTTCCATCGACCTTTCACATCTTTTCGCTTAAAACCTCCAGCAGAATCTAGTGAGCAACGTGTGATTTGTCCAAGCGATGATGAGTCAAGAGGAAACGTTGAAATTAGTTGGTATGGAATTCCTATAACATTCAGTATCTG